CCCGTCTGTGAGTTCCATGCTGTCCCGTTCCTGGCTAGCAGTGATTTGTTGCCTAGCAACCCCTATTGATCCCTGCATTGATCGTTGTATTGGAAGTGTTTTGGTGTGTCTCTCTGAAAGTTGGGCGCCTCCAGTCTGTCCAGAAAGAACCGGGTCTTAAATCCGACAGGCTGGAGCCCGACGGCTCACCAGAACCGGGCCGTCTGGGTCTGCAGCAGAGTGAGACCTCCCTCCCGCCGTCTGCTTTGGATCTTCTCAGTTTTCAGTTTTCCTCTGTCTGTTTCTCTCCTTACTGCCGCGTTAATATTTGATGCCTCCTCTTTGTGATCCCCCCTCCCCCCCTCCAGGCCCCCCAGACCAGGAGGAACCCCAGAGTCTCCTCGGAGGACGTCTGCCGCCCCCCCTCAGCCCTCCAACCCGGCGCTGCAGGCACAGATCAAACAAGGTAACTACAAAAGGAGGGGGCGCTCGCTGCGCTCGCCCCTGATGCCCTGAGAGGTGATGGGGACGGGTGGGGTGGGGGGGTCTGATAACGCAGCCCATCGGCGGTAAACCCAGCGGAGAACGGGGTGGGGGGGTGTGGGGCTGAAAACTTCAGCAAACAGGAAGCAGTTAGAGGGTCTGAGGTCCATCTGACCCCAGCAGGTAGGATCCTGACTACTCCTCATAACCCCGTCCTCCTCCCAGAACTTCACTCCTTTCCACCTGATTTGTTTCCTTGGTTGGAAAAACTTTTATTTTTATTTATCTCGGCAGGTTTAGGTTCATTTAGTGAAGAAGTTGTGGAGGAGAGAAGCTGCTGCTGCTGCTGCTGCTGGTCACCGTAGGGGATGTTTTAACCAGCTGTCACCATCTGCCCACTACACACCCACACACTGCTACCTCCCACACCGACAGCAGCTCAGCCGGACACACACACACACACACACACACACACACACACACACACACACACACACACACACACTCACACCGACCAGTAGCTGGCTGGAGGCGGGGCTTCGCTGCTATTGTCACTCCTTAATTGAGGCCAAGCATGACAAGCGTGTGGACTTATTCATAGCACACGCCTATTCAGAGGGAAAGGGCGGCCGTGACCC